GACATAATAAAACCGGACAGATCTCATACGAAGTTCTCGATCCCCATCTTCCATCATCTCGGATACACCTTCAACCTGCCCTCACTCTTTCAAGAGTGGCTAACCTTTCCTTGATATGACCTGATATACTGCACCTACTTATGAAACTTCCACCAACCCTTCAGTAATCATGTATGAAATCATAAATAAAACTAGATTCTATAGACAGTTGAATACTTTATCCTACCATAATCCCTTCATCAAAAAAGAATAGGAAATAAGGCCAAACAAAACATTCTTAGGACATAGAATCTTATTTATGTACAACTATGATGCATACACTAACCAACTACATTAATGATGTCAATTTAAAATAAGGCAAATCGTAGGCTATCAGGCATCATTTAATAAGGCAATTCTAACATGCAATTCCTAAAAATCCCTAGCCTTACACTAGCATGTTGTTCTAACATCTCGCAATATGAAATGATAGTTTGGTAATTTGGCGTCAAAATATTAGCCCCGACTGATCGTACACATCACATCCTCCTTGATTATTTTGAAAATAATATGAAATTCATTTTAAAAACCTTTTTTCCTTAGTTTGAGACTAGATTAACACGACTATTACTCTAATTTACTCAAACCAAGGACCTGATACTAACTTGTAACATCCCAAATTTTCAACAAATTTAAAACTTTTCAAAACAACCCTCTTACTAATAGAAGTGTTACAAAACCATTATTTTCAAAACATTATTTAAAATTAGAGTATCCCAAGATCCAGTCAGTTGCAAAACCAAGGATGTTGATGGTCATGCGTTCGCCTTGCCACGGTCCACTGAAGTACCTGCAACCATAAAACCAAAACTGTAAGCACAAAGCTTAGTGAGTTTTCCCAAAATACCAACACATAAATAGATAACATGTACAAAGAAATAACATGCATACAGAGCCTGCGGCCTGACTGGAATGCTGCCCCAGGCTACAGACTATCTCGACCGCTCACAAAACCTTCAACATTACTAGACCACCTCACCAAACCTTAAACCTATCTAGACCGTTCTCCAGGCCTTCGGCCTGACTGGTTCGCCTGACAGGCCTTTAGTCTTTCCCCCAGCCATTGGTCTCTTGGCCTTCAGTCACTACAGGTCCGATCAACCCAACCACACACATAACATGTAAACATACACATAACAGATACACATACAACATATCCATATAAACATTAACGACTTTGTTAACTTGCAACACAAAGCCATACAATCTCAACCCAACCGCACTACACCAACCTATACAATCGATAAACATATAGCCAGTAAACAGATAACAGGAAAATCTAACAGATCTTTACAACATAGCATCATCCTATATAGATGGAGATCAATCTAACCGATCACCATAGCACAATAACATACTATCAAATAACAGGATATCTAATCCAATGGGTCCGCATTGGTGCCTTCGACCCGTAAGTACAGCGAGGAAAAACTCAGCTCTCAATCCAATCCATAGCTGATGAGTTCCCTACTCTGTATCTCAACTTAAACCAACACTTTTTTAACCAAGTGACTAATATCCATTAGAATCTCAAAATACCCTTGAGGTCAAACTTGGTCCAACTCCATAAGTCAACTAACTGAACCAAGTCGAGTCAACCCAAATGAGTCAACCCAGACTGCGTATGCGGGGCATACTCTAAAGGTATGCTAGGCGTACATGAGGCCTCATAGGTTGACCACCATCAGGGTGGTTAACCTCGTACGGAGGGTGTACTCTGAGTACTCGAGGTGTATCCTCACAAGCCCAAAAATCCATTTTAAGAGCTTAATGGCTTTATCTCTTATGCCCAAACTTCAGATCCATTGCAAAAATACTCTTAGGAGTCATAAAGTCTCCAACTTTATGACCTAACACGTCCAATAAGTGCTTAAAACAATGTCATATTCCATGAAGACATTCTACAAGATGCATGAAGTAAAACCAAACATTTGCAAGATATTTTTATGACTGAAGACCCCTCCTATGGTCTGAAAGGACAACTCAAAGGTCAAGAACATGCCATATTATAGATCTAACATTTTGGGACCGAAAAGTTCCACAAAACAAATAAAACTAGATCTATGACATAGAGGGATCAAGGTGCAAGCTTTTTACCTTTGAAAGGTTGCAAATGAAGAATAAGCCCCAGATCCAAAGTGATTCACTCTTCCAAGATGAGTTTGGCTTCCTTCCTTCTTCTTCTATGCTCATAAAAACACACTTTTAGGCAAGAATTGGCTTCTCTAGGAGAACTAGGGTTACAACCACGAATGAGAGGGGTGGAGGCTGATGAGGTGATAGGAACGCCATAAATATGTTTAACTACCAACCAAACCCTAGATCTTAGGTTTCCCTCATTTAGCATGTTTTTTCGGCGTACACTGATGTACACCCAACGTAAACCACACAAGCATGGCAAACTCCAAAGACCTCAATTTATCATAATGCGATCAAGGCCCTTTTTACATACTTTCTTGAACTTAGGGATCAAAAACTCAATACACCTCAATACAAGGGTCAACAACAGAAGTACTTTAAAATCAGATGTTACAGTTATGCAAATTGACAAACCTAAAATGGATTCTTGGGTCTTTGTTCCTGATCTATTGAAGGATAGTTCAGAGCCATAACCTAATTTATACAGCCAACGGTATTTATGAAAGAGATGAAGACATTCCTCAAATGTTTACCTCATGAAAACTATTTTCGGATTTGTATGAACAATTTTGAATGAATTTGCATCTGTAAACAAAATTAGGAAACAAAGAGTCATAGACAACTATACAAAGACACAATGACATATACATACACTCACAAATAGACACCCATACATACAAAAGGTTACACACAAGTACACAAACACATATAAATCAGCATACAAAACCATCAGAAATGTGATTCTTTTAGACTCATCTCTATCATCTAATATTTTTGGAAAATCAAATATTTATGCATCAAGAAGCAGGAAAAAATAAGTTGAAAAATCCTCCTAGAATGGATTTGTAATACATACTTTTAAGATAGTAATTGATGGTGTCCATCATCGACTGAAGCCCATAAATCCTCATCCATCTCTAGAATTCAAGTAGTCGGTAGGAAGCTAAGAAAGAAGAGAAGGGTGTGGTAGTGGTGGCGAGAAGCGGCTAATGGTGATAATCGTTTCAAAAAGAGGAAAAACGAGAGAAAAGACGTAGTTGATTGGAAAAAATCTCATTTGCAACACCACTTCCTGAAAGCACACTTGGGAGTGTACATACCTTCAAAATAAATGGAAAATTTTAGGAAATTGCAAAGTATAAGGATGGAAGGTGAGTTTCAAAGATTGAAATCGATATAGAGAGTAAGGTAAAGGCCATAAAATCAGCTGACACTTGTTGGTCTTTCCCATTTGAACCTATATCAAACTAAACCTGTACCAATTAAATCAAATCAGAAGGAGATGGATTAGGAATATTGCTGAAGATCAATATTAGAAGCACCGTCGGGATGGAGGAGCAGAGGTCGCCACGTCCAGTGGGATATAAATCCAGATCGGGCGGTAACGGTGGATGCGGTGACAATGGTTTGTGGTTTTCTTCGCCATGGGTGTCCACGTTCGTGATTCTCTCCCAATTTGTGAAGAGGTGGGGAAACGGAAAATAAGAAGGCGAAAAGTTTGCAGAAACTTATAAAAACCAATGACGGTGGAATAATTCAACTGGTGAAGAGGGACGATGGGATACATGGCACTCAACAACAGAGTAAGGAGGAAACGTGGCAGTGACCAACAGACCCAATTGACTCATCTGTGATATAAAGTGAGAATTCATTAAAAGTGAAACCTTTTGTGAGTTAAGTCTAAAATAATAAAATAAAGGGACAAGTTTTGCAAAAAGGTAAAAAAGATGTGGCCAAAGTCTGAAACCAAAAAGGTCCCTGTTCCCTGACTTCATATGATTTGATATATATATATATATATATATATATATATATATATATATATATATGTATATATATATATACATATATATATATATATATGTATATATATATATATACATATATATATATATATATATATATATATATATATATAATAAGAACAAACTACTAATATAGTCCCTGTGGTTTGTAAAATTTTGCATTTGGTCCCTATATTTTATTTTGCATGTTGGTCATCCCTAGCATTTTCTTTTAATATGCGCTTGGTCCCTACGTCCATTTCTCGTTAGTTGTCTCTGTTAATTGACCCACGTGTCTGAAACGATAGGGGTATTTTTTTTCTTTTTAAGCATGGTACCTAATATAAACTAGAGTGTAGTCTATTCCCTTTCCGATCGTCTGCTTCCTCACGTCAAAACCCTCTTCAAAATCGATCAACCTATTCTAGAAAACCCACTTCTGGAAAACCCTAAACCTATAACGAAGTTACAATGGTTAGATGCAAGATGAGAGCAAATATGGATGAAATTAACCTCGATGAAGCATACAATAAGGAAAGAGTTTTTGGTTACTTACATTCATTTAAAACATAAATGTAAGAGAGTAAAGTTCAATTTTTATCTCTCTGTAAGTGGTCACCCGACTGTGTTCTCTATCAGGTTGCCCAATAATGGAGAGTTCACTAAGTTTCCTGGCAGAAAATACATGAAGGGAAATGTCAAATGTATTGATCTTTTAGATAGTGATACATCTTGTGTTCACAATATTGATGAAATAATTGAGGATCTTCATCAATTTGAGGATTGTAGGTTGGTATATTATCATTTTTATAAACCATTTTCAGATTTGGACATTCGTTTGTATACTCTGGCTAGTGACAGTGACATTAATCACTTGGGTACATTTTTGCCTAATTACAAATTGATAAAAGTTTATACTGAGCAAGGTAAAACTATGTTGCACATATACTTTGTGTCCCCCAACCCAAGTGGAGTTAGGATAGAAGAAATTGCCGAACCCATTCTAGGAGGATAATTTTGGAATGGAAGAAATCAACAATGGGGGATCCAGTCCAAATAGGGGATATTAATCAAATAGTAGATGATGATGAAGTTCAAACACCACCTACTATAATTAATGGAGTTCAAACACCTCCTTTTACAGCTAGTGATTACTTGTATTTGGAAGATTTCATTGATAGAGGTCAAACACACCTTGAAGATCAATTTCAAGCACCAACTTTCGAGTTTGATCTTAATAGAACTAATGTGGTTGAGATTAATCTTAATGGACCTGATGGGGATGAGGGAAATCAAGCTAAAGATAGTGCATGGGATTCTCAAAACTTATCTAATAGTCATGATAGTGATTTTTGAATTGATGAGGATAACAATATAGATGAACCTGAGGTTGATATGAAAGAAGTTTTCTACACATTGACAAGGATGTAGAATGGATGGGTAATCAGTCACGATCATTGGGTATGGAGAAATGTAGTAGGGATATTGGTGACATTCAGATACTAAATCAAAATGCAATGACAAATGATTATTCATCTGATGAAGGTGGTAGTAAAAGCATAAAAAAAGGAAAAAGGCAATAAGAGTGGTACAGAAAAGAAATGTGGCCCGTATTGATGTTCCTTTTTATATGTATCAAAAATTTGTTATAGTTGAAGAACTCAAAGAAATGATAAAAAAAACATGCAGTTGAAACAAGAAGGGACATTGATTTAATAAAAAAGAAATACTAAAGATGATAAGGGATATTTGCAAAGGTACCATTCCAGATCTTGATGTGTCTAACCATGTTGAAGACAAATGTCCTTGGAACCTTTATGGAAACAAGTGAATACTAGATGTGGATTAGGAGGTCTGAACCTATATGAAAGATCATAGATACCTATAAACAAGGACTGTAAAGGCTTGTATGTACAAGTTCTTGGGAAAGAAAATAGTGAAACTAGTTGAAAGTAACCCCAATATACCTACAAGAGATTTACATGCACAACTCCAACGTGAATACCAAGTAGAAATTTCACAGATGAAAGTTTTTATGTCTAAAATTGAGGCCATGAAGTAGGTCATGGGAGATTTTGAAGGATAAAATGCACTACTCACTGACTATGCTTCTAAATTCAAACTCGTAACCCTATGACAACAATCAATATTGAAGTAGGAACTGAACCAAATACTGCCTCTGAAACTAGAATTTCAAAAGGATCTATTGTCACACCCCCAAATCGGAACGGCGGAAACGTTCGGGGGCGAAGGACTTTATCTGGTAACGTAACAAATGAATACATAGTAAAGAAAGCAATACAAGCATCATATATATATATAATTGAAAGCTTACATTGTTTAAAAGTGTACTTGTTCAAAACCAATTATAGTATGATGTCAAAATATGAATTTAAACTAGTGCCGCAACGTTCCTTCTTCACAAGCTATTTAGTACCTGTAATTACTGAGTCCCTGGGACATACAAGTAGTTTTGAAAGAGTAGATCAGCATTTAAGCTGGTGAGTTTCATAAGCATTTAATGATAGTGTTTGTATGAAAATGAAATGGTTCGTTTATGTTCGTTAGACTCTAGAAAATTCCATATTTCCTACTGGTATAAATGTAGCCTTAAATCAAGACCAATATATGTTAAAAACTTGATGTTTTTCCATCTATAAGTGGTGATTAGAAGTTCCAAACTTCTATCACAATTGGGTTTTTCAAGCATAAAATAAATGAACTTATGTATGTATAAAACCTCCATTATATCTGAAAACCTCCATAAATTAATGTGTTTTTAATACTCTATGTGAGTTTTATAACCATGCCATTGACATGGGATGCCTATACACAACGCTCTTCAGGCGTTGGAATGTTCTGACATTTGTCACCCCAAATGGTGGACTGTAGCTAACAGTCAGGGTGCGGGTTGTCAAGCCCGTATAGATCTATACACAAACACCATGCTCCCCCTCCAAGGGATTCTGGTATATAATATAGGACTTGAAATGTGTACTCGTGCGTACGTGCAGTTTAATGTCTCACAAAACTTAGTATAAAACAGATTTACGTGTGAAAACGTTCGTTTGTTATTGTATATGAAAGTAGCTTCTTGAAATAGTATTTCCATGTATGTAAAAGTTAATAGTATTCTCGTAAAACTATACCTATTATAGTTTCATAAAAGTGTGTTTCGTTTGTATAATAAACCCTTAGTGAAAATGTTCACTTGTTATGGAAAGTGTAGTTTTTCTAGTGCCAAAACCGACACACATAGATATAGTATAAGCAAAGTGTCTGACTTATATAAATACATAAATCATTTCTCATTTCAAAAGATAAAATGTTGTCGTGGTATAATTTGCATATGAAAGTTTCCCTATAATAGTTATAAATCACATGTGATTCCTTTGATAAAACGCGTATAGTGAAAGTTTATATAACACACAATAATAATCGAGTGTTTTACTTGTATTCCCCCCTTAAAAGCATATAAAAGTACTCATAAAACATTTAAAAGTGTGAATTATAGGGGTATGAATTCACTTGAAAGATCGTAGGATACGGGATGAAAACTGGACAAAATTTCGACTCGAGAAAGTGGATTTCCTCGGGATTCTCGGGAATCCCGGGAGCACAAACGACCTTCGGGACTTGAGCAAAGTGATCGGTGCTTCGGAGTAGCACGGGCACGGAAAACGAGGCAAGAACGCAAGAGAAATGAGAGAAATGGTGCCTTTTCTTCGGAACCCTCTCATCCCTTTTATAGGGGCTGGGAACCGCCTCGGTATGCTGGGCGTACGCGTGTACGTTGGGCGTACGTGTGCGTCACGCATGACCGAATCCTCAACTGCCTCGGAGCTCGGATGGGACAGGGCATAGCCTAGCATAGGGTGCGACGTGGATGATCCGAGGCCAATGCCTCGCGTACGCTGGGCGTAACTTGGCCCTATTTGATGACTCCCCTTCGGATAATACCAAGGTTTATAATTAAAATTTATATTTTAATTATTTAATAAACTTCAAAAACTCATATCTTCTTCATACGAACTCCGTTTTCGACGTTCTTTATATCCACGCGAAGGTGAAACCATACTCTACAACTTTCGTTTAGATCCCGTCGACAAATTTTGAAATTACTTTTGTTATTTATTTTAAAAAGGTCGCGGTAAGAAAATTTCTTTAGAAATTCATAACTTCTTTCTCTGACGTCAGTTTTTGCCAGACTTTTTACCACTGAAATACCATTGTCGAGACATTCGATTCTCGTTTAGGTCATTTCGGCCAAAAGTCGCTCGATCTCCGATTCGAGTTTTTAGCCGTCTGTCGTTAAGCCGAACTTGGAAAATTTCTAACTTTCTTATACGCAGTCGGATTTGGGCGTTCTTTTTACGTACGATCACGGTTTAATGACATCTAACAAAATAGGTAATTTAATTAGTGATTTTTGGATGTTTTATTTTCGAAGTTAATTTTTATTATAACGAACATGGTTACAATACTTGACTTTTTAGGTCGTTTACATGTAGTTGAAATATCGGGTTGTCACATCTATGTTTGCCTTGGATCATTGAATAAAGAGATTATCCAGAAATGATGCTCACTACAATGGTATTTTTGTCTTTGATTTTTTAAATTTGTTTATGCCATTTTGTTAATAACATTTTCATGTTTCTAACTTTCTTACTGGGTAAACTTGTTTAGGGGCTTAATGGAAATAGTTGTACATACCCCTTGGCATATGATATGGTAGAATTTCTAAATATAAGTTTTTGAAAATGGTTTTTAAGTTGCTTAGCTGATGACCTCAACTTTAATTGAAATTCAAATTTTACTTTTATGTCAAACGGAAAAAGGTACATTTTGTAAATGTTTATTTTTAACTTCATTAATTCATTCAACATTATAGTACTAATATTCATTGGCTCTTGTAGGGGTTGTTGCAAGCAATTGCTACATTACTTCCATGTGAGAACACAGGTTTTCTCTGCATCATATTCAAGGAAACATAAAAGTTAATTGGAAGGGTGATATCTTTAAGGATGTGTTATGGAAATGTGCTACTACAACCATAATTATGGAATTTAACCATGAAATGAAGGAGTTACGTAATTTGAATAATGATTATTTCCAGTGGCTCAAAATTATCCCACCTCGACATTGGACTACGTCTCACTTCATAGGTTTGGTTTTCATTTTTCTTCAACTTATTTTACATTTGTATCATGACCTTGTAATTCTTATGTAGGTAGGGCCCATTGTGATCGTCTTTTGAATAATCTGCATCAGACTATTAACAACCAATTTAAGGAAGGTCATGATCAAACAATCATCAACTATATTGAATTTATTAGAGAGTACCTCATGATAAGGCTTGTGACTGTTCAAAAGAAATTGATAAGGCAGTTAGGCCTCTGAATCCAACTGCTACAATAGTATTGGAAAAAATAAAAAAAACTGCAACAGAGTGTACAAGTGTCTTTTGTGAGAATGATAAGTATCAAGTAACAGGTCCAAGAATGGACCAATGTGTGTTGGAGATGAAAAACCACACATGCTTATGCATGAAATGGGAACTCACTGGCATTTCTTATTAACATGCATTGGTAGCAACTTAGGACATGAGAAAAAACAAGAAAGATGTTGGTTTACCTAAAACTTTGGCACATCCCACTTACTGGTTGAGAACATGGAAGGAGATGTATTCCTTCAAGATTAAGCCTATCAATAGATGAAGAATATGGTAAAAGTATGCTTTTCCTACAACATTTCTTCCTCCTAAGCATCATTTTCCCATTGGTAGAACTAAGAAGAAGAGAAGGAAGCTTGTGTCTGATATGGAAGAGATGGTAACTGGTGTTACGGCTATAAGGAAATAGAAATATGTCACATGCTTAAAATTAAACCATGGTAATACAAAAGGAGTTGCAAAGGTCAGAATCGTGCAAGTGGTGCAGGTAAAAGCATTATAAGTGGTGTTGGCAGTGCAGGTCAAAGCAGTGCAAGTGGTGTTGGTGCTACATGCCAAAGCAGTGAAAGTGTTGCTGGTAAGAAGAGACCAAGTGGGTATGGGAAGAGCAGTGCAAGTAGTGTTGTTAACAGGAGACCAAGAGGGGTTGGGAAGAAGGTCAAGACAATAGTTTGAAAGCATCCTAGTTGTTTTATTGTAGCCTAATCTAATGGCTTTCTACACTATGTAATGTTTTGATGTTTTTATTAATATTTTGATGATCTTCTATTAACATCTTGATGATCTTTTGATAACATCTTTATCTTTTGCTAACATTATGATGATATCCTGTTATCTTTCGATAACATCCTACTATCTTTTCTATTTCATCTATTTCATTCCATTACATTCCAACAACATTACA